ACTGTAGGGTGGAGCAGCTGTCATGGTGACAGTCACACTGTAGGCTGGAGCAGCTGTCATGGTGACAGTCACACTGTAGGGTGGAGCAGCTGTCATGGTGACAGTCACACTGTAGGGTGGAGCAGCTGTCATGGTGACAGTCACACTGTAGGGTGGAGCAGCTGTCATGGTGACAGTCACACTGTAGGGTGGAGCAGCTGTCATGGTGACAGTCACACTGTAGGGTGGAGCAGCTGTCATGGTGACAGTCACACTGTAGGGTGGAGCAGCTGTCATGGTGACAGTCACACTGTAGGCTGGAGCAGCTGTCATGGTGACAGTCACACTGTAGGCTGGAGCAGCTGTCATGGTGACAGTCACACTGTAGGGTGGAGCAGCTGTCATGGTGACAGTCACACTGTAGGCTGGAGCAGCTGTCATGGTGACAGGCACACTGTAGGCTGGAGCAGCTGTCATGGTGACAGTCACACTGTAGGGTGAAGCAGCTGTCATGGTGACAGTCACACTGTAGGGTGAAGCAGCTGTCATGGTGACAGTCACACTGTAGGGTGAAGCAGCTGTCATGGTGACAGTCACACTGTAGGGTGAAGCAACTGTCATAGTGACAGTCACACTGTAGGGTGAAGCAACTGTCATAGTGACAGTCAGACAACACTGTATAGACACTATAGCTCCACGGCTCTTCACTACCCTCCCAGCTAACACAATAAATGCTGCCAGCACAAAAGTGCACGCATTCAGGAAAAATTAGATATATTCCGGCAAGAAGTGCCGGACCAGCCGGACATATGGACGTGCGGGCCGCTGCAAGCAACAGCCTGGTGGACCAGGTTATCACAGGTCAAGCCTGGCCCCAGGCCTGGCTTGGGGAGAGAAGAACCCTCAGAACACTCTTCAGGTAAATACAGGTATCCTCTTAGATATATGTGGCATCAGTAAAATATGTTTACTGCGTTATATGAAGAACAATTTTCTCAGAGATATTGCGTAACATACATATTTCGAATGCTGGGACAGGGATATATTTAACACGCATCATCTGGTGAATGTAAATAGTTATAGAGTTAGTGAGATGATGTGATATCTCTAGTCCGGAACACGCAATCTGCGCCTCCTCTGTTTACATTATTGATGGCGGCCAGTGGGCGACCACGGCCCGCCATCGATCCTTGGAGTGGTGGTGGTCTTACCTTACAGTCACTGCGGGGAGGCGAGGTCTCTCTCTGCGTGTCCTTGTCGCACATGGTCACACATAAGGGAATTATCCGGCCGTTCCTATTCTGTGTGGAACCTCGCCCCACAGTGGAGGAGGGAAGTGGCGGCCACCACGTCTTTCAGGACATCCCGGGTGTTGAGCACATCTTCACCACACCAGTGTTCACTTACACTTCTTCGGCTCATTACACTTCCCACCTTCCATCTATGCCTTCTTGTACAATCCCCAGTACCAATGGGGAGGATTTACTGGGCGCAATTCCTTAACTGTAGCCTCTGTTTAACTCAACAGTAAAATGTGTACTTGGATGAAAAAACGATTCTTCGCGGCAGGGGATCGTATTCCAGGGACCATAGGATTAAGGACTTGCCCGAAACGCTACGCGTACTAGTGGCTGTACAAGAATGTAACAACTCTTGTATATATCTCAAAAAAAAAAAAAAAAAAAAAAAAAAAAAATCCTCTCAGTCTAAAGAGACTGTCTTTGTCCGCCTTGTCCATTCTTCTCAGTATAGTGTGTATATATTTTTATTATTCTTGCTGCCGGAGGCGGCTAATTTATTGTGCACCCCATACTCATCCTGTGAGCGGTAGCGCAAAAATCATTACAGAGGGCACAAACGGTCTTTATCAGACCTCATCTTAGATTATTACATAAACAATTTCATCTATCTTTCGCACCTTATAGTTATATGTCGGCTAGTTACAGAGAAAGTGCTATTTCAGGAGCTATATATTTACAGTAAGTCATTATACATTAATGGTAGGTCTTATCGCTAATACATAATAGTTTGACCAATGGAGATATTACAGAGTCATAGGGGAGCTTCTGTTTATTATTAGTCTTCACAATACACAACTTGTTTCTGAATCTCATATGTCGTTCATCTACTGGAAGCGAAATGTGGGTACAGTGCAAGGATTTCAGGTAATTTATCCATGGTAATAAGATAGGTTGCCATATCATACAGCGTGCCCTTAGATTTATCTCTGAATGGCTCAATTTTACTACAATCCAAGATATAGTGTTCGAGTGTGTGTCCCTGTCTTTGTCCACACACTTTACACTTTACTTCATCTAGATCCCTATACAAGCCCAACTGCCAGAGATACTTGTAGCCAAGTCTTATACGAGCTGTGACAACATCTGTTAGTCTACCGACTTTGGTACTTGCCCCATACACATGTTTTACTTCACACATTTCATTGTGATGAACAATGGACCTGCTAGTTCCAGTTTGCACTGCTCTACTTTCTTCAAATCCATCCAGGAGTTCTCGTTTAATGACACTTTTAAGGAACCTATTTGATAACTCAAGATTTCGTTAAATACTGTCTTTATTTACTGCAGCCTTAGCAAGGGCGTCAACTTTGTCATGTTCCTGCATGCCAATGTGAGAAGGAATCCACAACATTTTTATATTTACCCTCATGCTAAGTATTCTTATATATCTACGTCTAGCTTCCAAGACAAGCACGTTATTACTTGATTGCAAACTATTTATTGCTCGTAGTGAGGAAAGGGAGTCAGAAATAATTAAGCTGTCTACTTCAGTGTTATCAATAATTTCGAGTGCTACCAGTATTGCTACCATATAGTGAGCATATTTCCTCTGTTGCTTGTCTCCTCTCTCCTGTGAGAGTTCCCCAAACTAGTCCTTGTAGCTTAGTCCTCTCAATGCTGGCACTAGTCTCTGCAAACGGTAGTGGTGACTGGAGTTGTGGTGATTGGAGAGGTGGTGATTGGAGAGGTGGTGATTGGAGAGGTGGTGGTTGGTATGTTGGTACTGGTGATTGTAGTGGGCTGTGAAGGGTGGAGCATTGATGGTTTTTTCAGTGGTGATATTGTGAGGGGGGGGGGAATATTGACGGTGGGGTGGTTATTAATGGTGTTGTGGTGGGACTGGAGAGCATGGTGGTTCAATAGTGTTTGTGACAGTGATTGATATAGTGTAGGTAAGAGCAGGGGGGGGGGGGAGAGAATGATGGTTGTTGTGGGTCAAGAGACAGGCAGACATACAGAGGGGAGGGGGGACAGACAGAGGGGTAGATAGACAGACAGAGGAGAAGAAAGAGAAGGGGAGATATAGTGTGTGTGTGTGTAATATATATATATATATGTATATATATATATATATATATATATATATATATATATATATATATATATATATATATATATATATATATATATATATATATATATATATATATGTGTGTGTGTGTGTGTATATCACGAAAATAAACACGTGATTAAGAATGTGACAATGTCAGCCACGGAGGAAAATGAAACAGGAATTTCCTTAAGTACTTTCGTATATTAAATACATCTTCAGAAGGAATGATTTTACAGATCGAGTGATGGGTATAAATAGGCAGGAGAGAGTGGTGAAGTGGGGTGAGGTACAATACTGGGACAACGCAGACGGCCCATTGGCCTCAGATGCACCCAATTGGCCCATCCGATGTAGCCCAATGGCCCATCTGATACAGCAGACATACAAGCATAATACATAGGTAATTATAACATAAAGAGGTAAATATATACAATGAATTAGTGAGACAAATGTTTTTCAATGATCCTACTTAAATCGCCCTTTAGCTGATCTATTAGAAATGGATCTAAGTTATATAGACCACTGCTAATATTCAAATTACTTTCTTTGGTGATCTGTATCAAAGCAGATTCAATTATGTTTCTGTTATAGGTGCTTTTACAATTTGTTATTGAAGAAGCACTCTCCTAATCAATTTGGTGAGCTTTTTCTGACAAATGCACAAACAAAGCATTAGACAATTGGCCATGTCTTACAGAGTATTTATGTTGCGATATTCTACATTTTAAATCTTTAGATATTTGCCCGACATAGAACTTATTACATTCCTTACAAGGTATTTTATAAATGACGCAATTATCACTACGAGGGCTGCTGCATTGTGTATTCTGTCTGCTGTATGATGTCTGCTGCACGGTGTATTCTGTATCTGCTGTATGATGTATTGTCTGCTTCACGGTGTATGATAAGTGTTCACCTGACTGTGATGGGTCAGGGGCAGGTGTTGACATGATGGTGATGGTTTAGGGGCAGGTGTTGACATGATGGTGATGGTTCAGGGGCAGGTGTTGACATGATGGTGATGGTTCAGGGGCAGGTGTTGACATGATGGTGATGGTTCAGGGGCAGGTGTTGACATGATGGTGATGGTTCAGGGGCAGGTGTTGACATGATGGTGATGGTTCAGGGGCAGGTGTTGACATGATGGTGATGGTTCAGGGGCAGGTGTTGACATGATGGTGATGGTTCAGGGGCAGGTGTTGACATGATGGTGATGGTTCAGGGGCAGGTGTTGACATGATGGTGATGGTTCAGGGGCAGGTGTTGACATGATGGTGATGGTTCAGGGGCAGGTGTTGACATGATGGTGATGGTTCAGGGGCAGGTGTTGACATGATGGTGATGGTTCAGGGCAGGTGTTGACATGATGGTGATGGTTCAGGGGCAGGTGTTGACATGATGGTGATGGTTCAGGGGCAGGTGTTGACATGATGGTGATGGTTCAGGGGCAGGTGTTGACATGATGGTGATGGGTCAGGGGCAGGTGTTGACGTGATGGTTCCTGGGGCAGGTGTTGACGTGATGGTGATGGTTCCTGGGGCAGGTGTTGACATGATGGTTCAGGGGCAGGTGTTGACATACTGGTGATGAGTGAGGGACGCACGCTACACCCAGAGAGTGAGTGCGTCTATAAAGATGAGTACTAAAGCAGGTGTTTTCTCTTGCAGGATTCCGACTCATCATGGCGGGAGAGCATCTGCATCTCCGTCGACTGTGAGGACGACACGTGAGTACCTCTGGCTCCCCCGTACGGTGACCTTAGGCCACTTTAGTACCACATTTTCCGGACGTTGGGCACCCCTAGAGGGACGTTCTTGGCGAGGGAGGCAGGCGAGAAGCAGGCGAAGGGCTCCCCCTTCCCAGCAGGCGCTCCCTGCTGGGAAGGGAGGAGGAGGACACTCACATTCACTCTCTCTCACTCTCTCACTCACACACACACACACACAGGGGCCTCGTAGCCTGGTGGATAGCGCGCAGGATTCGTAATTCTGTGGCGCGGGTTCGATTCCCGCACGAGGCAGAAACAAATGGGCAAAGTTTCTTTCACCCTGAATGCCCCTGTTACCTAGCAGTAAATAGGTACCTGGGAGTTAGTCAGCTGTCACGGGCTGCTTCCTGGTGTGTGTGTGTGTGTGTGTGTGTGGTGAAAAAAAAAATAGTAAACAGTTGAGTGACAGTTGAGAGGCGGGCCGAAAGAGCAAAGCTCAACCCCCGTAAAAACACAACTAGTAAACACACACACACACACACACACACACACACACACACACACACACACACACACACACACACACACACACTCTCTCTCTCTCTCTCTCTCTGGGGGGCGGGGGTCGGGTGACTGCCAGAGGGCGGGGTAGCCAGGTGGAGCGGGACAGGGCTGGCATTGGCTGGTGGACATCACATGCTCGCGTGTTTACATTTACGTCACAAGATGGGTCACGAGATGGGTCACGTGGGTGAAGGGTGAGGCAGCGAGGTGACTGGTCTACAGTGACTGATACATGACATAACACACACTCTTCCCTAGGGGTGGATCAGGTTAGGTCACCTGCCTCACATCGCCGACAAATGGAAAGATATATCAGCATTGTTCTATTGTTCTTGTGATCAGCTCTTGAGATAAATAAATGATCAACTATATTTAAACTTCGTAAATGTAAAAGGTAAGCAGTGGTCCAGGTCCACTACGGGCTCACCATAGCCCGTGCTACATGTAACTTCTGTTCAGAGTGGCTGACTCTAAAACACAACATCAACAACAACATACCTGGTTAACCTGGTTGATGGGGTTCTGGAAGTTCTTCTACTCCCCAAGCCCGGCCCGAGGCCAGGCTCGACTTGTGAGAGTTTGGTCCACCAGGCTGTTGCTTGGAGCGGCCCGCAGGCCAACATACCCACCACAGCCCGGTTGGTCCGGAAAGTCTTTTAGAAAACTAACTAGTTTTCTCTTGAAGATGTCCACGGTTGTTCCGGCAATATTTCTTATGCTCGCTGGGAGGACGTTGAACAACCGTGGACCTCTGATGTTTATACAGTGTTCTCTGATTGTGCCTATGGCACCTCTGCTCTTCATTGGTTCTATTCTGCATTTTCTTCCATATCGTTCACTCCAGTACGTTGTTATTTTACTGTGTAGATTAGGGACCTGGCCCTTCAGGATTTTCCATGTGAATATTATTTGATATCTCTCTCGTCTCCTTTCTAGTGAGTACATTTGGAGGGCTTTGAGTCGATCCCAATAATTTAGGTGCTTTATCTCGTCTATGCGTACCGTATATGTTCTCTGTATTCCCTCTATTTCAGCAATCTCTCCTGCTCTGAAGGGGGAAGTGAGTACTGAACAGTACTCAAGACGGAACAACACCAGTCGTCCACATCATGCATATCACGAGAGAATGTCACTGACATTACTGTTTTATACATCAACAGTTGTCTCATAAGAACAAAGTATTAAGTTGTGTGAGGAGCTAGGTGTATGACACCCCTCCTCCCTCCCTCACACTGGACGGTTACTCACACAGGTGCAGTGAGTACCTCTGAGGTAGAATCACCTACACTCTTCACAGTGTAGACAAGTATATCTACCACTGGCGTCACTCCATGTTGACAATGTTATTGTGTAACACAGGTTTGGTTTCTCTTAATATTCTTTGAATGTTTGCCAACTGTGGCAGTGTATATTTACCTGACGGGGGGTAGGGGGGGTATCTGACCAGGTGGTCCCTGTGAGAGCTTGTGGGTATCTGACCAGGTGGTCCCTGTGGGAGCTTGTGGGTATCTGACCAGGTGGTCCCTGTGAGGGCTTGTGAATATCTGCCCAGGTGGTCCCTGTGACAGCTTGTGGGTATCTGACCAGGTGGTCCCTGTGACAGCTTGTGGGTATCTGACCAGGTGGTCCCTGTGACAGCTTGTGGGTATCTGACCAGGTGGTCCCTGTGAGGGCTTGTGAATATCTGCCCAGGTGGTCCCTGTGACAGCTTGTGGGTATCTGACCAGGTGGTCCCTGTGGGAGCCTGGACAGAGTAACAGAAACCCTAGTGAGAGACACCAGTGAGACACTAGTGAAGAACGAGTGAGAGAGAGAAGTGCTTCATACACTAGTGTGAGGGGTGAATGTCAGCTGAAGGAAGGGCAGGGGTGGAGGAGGCCAGAGAGGATGGCAGGGAGGGTTATACAGCAAGTATAGAGGAGAGAGAGAGAGTCATGACGAACATGGACCAGGCTAAAAGTACTGGAGAGGTAGAGTGGAAAGATTAATGGGACGGAAGATTGACATAAAGGGGAGAGAAGTCGACTAGTATTATTATTTATTATTTATATATATATATATATATATATATATATATATATATATACAAGAAGTTACATTGAGTTTATCAGAATACATAGGATGATGTGTTTACATTCTTGTAAAGCCACGAGTAAGCGAAGGGTTTCGGACAGGACTTAAAACTTGGGACCTGAAACACCTGGTGTTAGTGGTGATACAAGATGGTGATGATACAAGGCGCGTGTTTATGTGTGTGAGTGTGTTGGGCTGGCGGCCTCCCCCCTCACTGACAGTGCCAAGTGTGGCCCCCTGTGGACCTCGGGGGCCTGGCTGAGGGAAGACCACTTGCTAGTTACGTCAGGTTGTGCTCATTGGTCCCCTGCGTGTGGCCGTCACTACAACAAGGGTTATAGTGCCAGCCACAGGTCAACACTCATCATTAGTGCCAGCCACAGGTCAACACTCATCATATAGTGCCAGCCACAGGTCAACACTCATCATATAGTGCCAGCCACAGGTCAACACTCATCATATAGTGCCAGCCACAGGTCAACACTCATCATATAGTGCCAGCCACAGGTCAACACTCATCATATAGTGCCAGCCACAGGTCAACACTCATCATATAGTGCCAGCCACAGGTCAACACTCATCATATAGTGCCAGCCACAGGTCAACACTCATCATACAGTGCCAGCCACAGGTCAACACTCATCATATATCTATAGTGCCAGCCACAGGTCAACACTCATCATATAGTGCCAGCCACAGGTCAACACTCATCATATAGTGCCAGCCACAGGTCAACACTCATCATATAGTGCCAGCCACAGGTCAACACTCATCATATAGTGCCAGCCACAGGTCAACACTCATCATATAGTGCCAGCCACAGGTCAACACTCATCATATAGTGCCAGCCACAGGTCAACACTCATCATACAGTGCCAGCCACAGGTCAACACTCATCATATATCTATAGTGCCAGCCACAGGTCAACACTCATCATATAGTGCCAGCCACAGGTCAACACATCATATAGTGCCAGCCACAGGTCAACACTCATCATATAGTGCCAGCCACAGGTCAACACTCATCATATAGTGCCAGCCACAGGTTAACACTCATCATATAGTGCCAGCCACAGGTCAACACTCATCATATAGTGCCAGCCACAGGTCAACACTCATCATACAGTGCCAGCCACAGGTCAACACTCATCATATATCTATAGTGCCAGCCACAGGTCAACACTCATCATATAGTGCCAGCCACAGGTCACCACTCATCATATATCTATAGTGCCAGCCTTCAGGTCAACACTCATCATATAGTGCCAGCCACAGGTCAACACTCATCATATAGTGCCAGCCACAGGTCAACACTCATCATATAGTGCCAGCCACAGGTCAACACTCATCATATAGTGCCAGCCACAGGTCAACACTCATCATATAGTGCCAGCCACAGGTCAACACTCATCATATAGTGCCAGCCACAGGTCAACACTCATCATACAGTGCCAGCCACAGGTCAACACTCATCATATATCTATAGTGCCAGCCACAGGTCAACACTCATCATATAGTGCCAGCCACAGGTCACCACTCATCATATATCTATAGTGCCAGCCTTCAGGTCAACACTCATCATATAGTGCCAGCCACAGGTCAACACTCATCATATAGTGCCAGCCACAGGTCAACACTCATCATATAGTGCCAGCCACAGGTCAACACTCATCATACAGTGCCAGCCACAGGTCAACACTCATCATATAGTGCCAGCCACAGGTCAACACTCATCATATAGTGCCAGCCACAGGTCAACACTCATCATATAGTGCCAGCCACAGGTCAACACTCATCATATAGTGCCAGCCACAGGTCAACACTCATCATATATCTATAGTGCCAGCCTTCAGGTCAACATTCATCATTCTCATCATATATCTATATACAAAAGAATGCCTTTCCGACTGTCTGAGGTTGAAGGCCAGACACCTAGGGCTAGCCTCATTTAAATTTCCAAGATGAACCATAGTGGATAAGATAGTGTTATAGGCCAGTCGCGGTCGGCCTCAGTGCCACATTTTACGAAATATCGGCATCTATAGCGACCCACCCGCCTGCGATTTACTTGAAGTCTCACACAAACTCCGGGTTATGGTTTGTGTACAGTTGTGGTACTCTCACCGGGTCATGACCTCACTCACCACGGTACTCAATGTCCAGTAATTGGCCCCGTCACACCTGCCCGTATCACCCACCTCCACCTTGGTAAATACTGGAGAGAGAGAGAGAGAGAGAGAGAGAGAGAGAGAGAGAGAGAGAGAGAGAGAGAGAGAGAGAGAGAGAGAGAGAGAGAGAGAGACAGGGAGAATGAGAGAGGGGAGAGAGGGGGGGGAGAAAGGAGGAGACGGGAAAAGGTGAGAGGGAGAGGGGGGGGGGAGG